TACCTCCTCTCTCTCTCTCTCTCTCTCTCTCTCTCTCTCTCTCTCTCTCTCTCTCTCTCTCTCTGCTCTCTACTGGATCTCTCCCGCCCGCTCCACACCAACGCGCGGCCGCCCATAATGTCGGTTCGCTCTCTGCGAAACCATCAAGATCTCCGAGGTCCTCGTTGCGCCACGTATCTCTTCCCTCGAAACGTCCCGACGAGAGAGAGAAGAGTCCGCCTGTAATTGACGCAGATAGGAGTGCCATCTGCTACGGCACAAACGGGGACGGGGAGGAGAGGACGGGGGAAACGCGCGTAATGTCCGCCATCCGCGGCGACATGTTCCATGTAAGGATTCATTGAATGATGGAAACTAAGCTCTCGGCCGCGAGCGAGCGAGCGAGCGAGCCACTCTTCGTGAGGCTCGCGTGCTTCGCATTTTGCGTCTCGACTCGTCGGCAACGGTCGCTTGAACGGGTCGAGTTGAACGCACCATCGCGTTTTCATCGGATTTGTTGAATTATTTCGATAAACATGTCTCCATCGAATCTATGATCTCGCTATAGCGTCGTCACGGCGATCTCCTCGATATTGTAATTACGGCATTATTCCGTGCTTCCGAGCGACGAAGCTATTCGGACCACTCTGTTACGTTCGTACACATCAACCTGCAATTTTATGCGTCATAGTTTTATGCGTCTCCCTTTGTTGTTACATGCTCATCTCCCTTGCGAGCTTTTCGAAACGAAAATTCTGGTTCGTCAAATATTATTATACTCACGTACATCTGGTTTCATTACGGCAATTAACCGCGATAGCGATGGACTTGTTGCAAATTGGCGTTCTATTTAAATTTGCTAATTACTGTTACGACATAACGATGATACGCTCGCTTCAGGATGAAACATTTATGTTGTGAGCAACCCCCCCGTGTGTACCTATGTGTTTTTCTTTCGAGCACGAGGGAGTGGAATCGAGTATAATTAACGTATATGGAAGTATTATCTGATGCATAGTGACATCAATGCGATGCTCGTAATTATGTCTCTCCTCCAACGTCGTGAATGCAAAAATGGGTTTACGTAAAAATGCTAAACCAAAGCGTACAATGATTCACGAGTGTACGGGGAAAAGATATTTCCAGCGTGGTAACCATATTTAACTTTACCTCGAAGAACGTAGTTATCGTAGTTTTCTATCTGTATGTTAAAATAGGAAAGCATTAGACACAGATAATTCTACATTATTAACAAGAACAAACATGCGAATGTATCATTAGGCTGCATTAGTCTGCGTACCGTAATAAGGTCGAACGGGGCTTTATTTTTTTTTTTTTTTCCATGCTTCTCGAAATATTGGGATAATGTTCCTTTCGAATTCGTAGCTGTCTTAAGCCGACGCGAGATATTCATAGATTAATATCTCACGGGAGGCGGAGAGGCGAAAGAGGCGCAAAGAATAAATGCAATAAGTTGAAGTCGAACGCGCATTGTCAGCAAGGGGCGTCGCATTTCGCGAACAAACGGCGCGTTTCTTTCTCGTCACCGGGCTCTTTTCTCTACCACGACAACGACGGTGTTCCAGCGTAGCACTCGAGCTTTCCCCGGCCGAGGGAAAGGAGCGTAATACCGGTCGAGAAATCGATGGTCGTCCGTGTCTTCCTTTTGCTCTCGGTTCGCCGTCCCCGCGCTCCCTTACCTCCAAGGCGTCCATCCTTTCCCCCGCGCGCTCCCTTCGCCGGCGTTCCTTCGCCCTTCTCTTTCTCGCCAATTTACGAGCATCTCGAAGTGTGCCCGCCTAGCTGAAAACCGGGGTGGCGTCGCGGGCTCACCCGGATATTCCGGAACGCCGTGCGCGGATGACGGCGATGTCGATCACGAATAGATGCTTTTTGCCAATGCCCTTAGTATTTGTCTGTATCTGTGTGTGTGTGTATATCTGTATCGAGATTTTATTTTCGATACGTGTGTATCGTTTTATATTTACAATAATTTAACTCCGATAATCACAAAGCTGAATGATATTTGTTAGTGACGTTAACTAATATAAAAGAGCGTTACATAAAAGAAACGTAATGGAAAACCCTGCATATTTTTCTTGCGATAAAATCCAAATAATAATATTGATTAATTTGTACCAATTTATTACCCTAGGGAAAAAATTTTTTGTAACAATAAATCCTCACGATTATTACGAATGATATTGATACTTTGCTTAAAAAGTTAAACAACATATATTCGCGGTATTTCATATCGAAGCGAAAATATCGACGTCGAGTTGGGCGTGATACACGAGGGAAAAGAAGCTTCTTCTTCCGGAGAGATTGATAGACGAGTCGTTGCTGCAGCAATAATTACGAAGCTCGGTCATACCGTGTTATTCGGCTCGCCCGGGAGATGCGTCTAATAATACGCTCCTCGGATGTAGGTGATAATTTCAACCGCGAATTTTGATATCTCGCTACTCGATGCTGTAAAAGAGTAAGAAAATTGTGAAAATTGAAATATTTGTTTTAATTAAACTTCATTTTCTTTCCTCTTCTTACGCCATTAATAAATTTTGATATCGTTCAGATAATGAACTTTAATAATGCTCAAACTGTAGTTGTGCCTCGAATTCTTAATTTTATTCGATTACTATATCTATATTACTATACCTATTGTATTTAAAAATAGAATTACACCTCGCGACAAGATTTATTGTCGAAGTAGACGCAACTTCAATTGAAAACTGGATAATAGAAAAATTTAATAATATCGAGATGAGAAACATTTCTGTCTATAGAATACAGAACATTAATCAATAAGGGATATAAAGCTGTGCTTTTGTTATGCCGTCAAGCGTTTTATTTCTAACTCTAAAAAAGAAAAGATAATATTTAAAAAAAAGATCTCTTTACTTTCCATGGTATGAAATCCACTGCTTTGTAGATAATAAAAGTATAATAATAAAAAACGATAATGTCACAAAATGTTGGGAAATAATTTACAAGTTTTCAATGAAATGATGGTACTTATTGAAGTACCAATTTTGATATTTGAGACGATTAAAGACATTGCAATGATTATATGAAACTCTGAATTTTCGCTAATTAGAGTCTACAACTTTTCGCTTTTAGTTACCAGTAAGCAAAGGAGTAGCAATACTAGCAGATATTGAAAGGACGCTTTCCTGTCACAGTTATTCGGAGGATAATTTCCGGCAGCAAAGGGCTTCTACGCGGCTTCTTTGTCAATTACAAACGAGAGGCTTCGCACGACATCACCATTCACGAATCTGAAAGCGCAGTAAAACCTAT